GCGCTTGCTTGGCGCGCTCGATGATTCGATGTCGCTCATGGAGGTGCCGTGCGCGAGGGGCGCAGGCGTCGACGTAATGGTGTTGGACTGGGGGGGGCGCTTTCCACTCCGTGGGCGTCCGGGCAGAGGAGCTCCCGCGCCAAATTCTGCGGTTTCGGGGGGTGGGTGGGTGCATCGGGTGCGAGACAATCTTCTTCGGCGGCGGGTGTGCCGCTCGTCGGGGGGAGGGCCGCGGCGTTCCTCGGCCGTTCGGGGCGAGCGCTGTTTTCGGCGCAGGAAGCGCTCATCCAGGTTTGCGTGTGCTGGGCCGCCTGTCTGGGCGACCTGGAGACGAGGGCCAGTATCGAGGTGGCCCTTTTTGCGTTGGCTCACAGTGGGCCCGCCGGTGTCCTGGCGCAATGTCCAGCGCGGCGCCGCCGTGACCGAGGTGGGAGTTCTCGTGCCGAGCGTGGTGGCGCTAGCGTTGCCGGGCGCGTGTGCGGCAGAGGTGCTGTCCGAGGCGGAGCAGCTCCTCGCGGTCGCAGTGGCCCCCGTCGCCCGCCCGCGGAGGCCGGCGGCGCGGGCGCCCCGGGCAGGCGGGATAGCCCCGCGCCTCCAGAGCATGGTCGCGCCGCTCTGGGCGGCCATCACGGAGGTTTCGTCGTTGGCGCAGCCAGAGGCGGCCCCGGCGGGTTTGCCGCGCCCGTGGGTGGCGCACGCCCTCCGCTGGCCCGCGGCGTTTGCCGGGCGCCAGAGAGGGGCCCTGGCGCGCGCCTACAGCCTGGGCCAGTGCCGCCAGAGGGTGGCGGTCAACCTGGTGTTCGACGCTTCTCCGTGGGGGTTGCGGCGGGTACGTCGTCGTTTGCGGTCAGGTTCTGGTGTGGTTCGCGGAGGCGCCTCCGCGGAGAGCGTGGGGCGCCTCGGCCTCCGCGTGGAGGGCTCGCGATTCCGGGCGCTACTCGAGATGATGGCAATTCTCATTGGGATCGGGGAGTGGCCTCCGGCGTGGAAGGGCGACAGGGCCGCCTCTGTGCTTGGGGGCGATTCCCAGGCCGCCCATGCGGCGACAGCGCATCTAGAGTCCACGTGTCTTGCCTTCAACACAGAGTCTTGGGAGCTTGCGCTGGGCCTGGCCGAGGGGCGGCACCTGGTGGGCGTGGTTGCGCACCTGGCGGGCAAGGGCAATGCCTCGGCCGAAGTGCTGTCGAGGCCGCGCCAGTTGGGCGGGGCAGCCGAGGCGCCGATCGCGCTCCTTGCGCGGCCCTGCGCTCGCCCAGCGATGTGAGATGGCGCGTGGTGAGGAACCGTGGCCGGCCCCGTTCTGGAGCAATCCAGTAGGCGCTGATGCTGGGGCTCCTCCTCTGCTTCCTGGTCCCTGGGAGCGCAAGGCGCCTCGCGGGTGGCGGCGCGCTGCTGCGCGCTGACGCGCTGACCTCCTCGGGGCCATGGGCGCGCGACCTACCCGGCAGCTCGTCGCTGTGGCGGGCCCTCCAGGGGGCGGGGGGCGCGGCGGCGGCGGCGGCGGCCGCGGTCCCTGCGGCGGGCTGCGCGCAAGGCCCGAGCCCGGGCGCGCAGGGGGTGCCCGCCAATCGCGGCGGCGCGGCGCCCGCGCCCGCGGCTACCGCGCAGGGCGGGGCGGCGTTGGGAAGCCGACGTCTGGCGACGCCGCTGGGTGCCCCTGGCGACGGCGTGGGCGCGTGGGGCGTCTGGCGGCCGTTCGCGGCCGGGCGCCGAGCGTGCGCGCGCGTCTCAGGTGCGGCTGTTCGGGCGGTGTTGCGAGGCGCGGAGGGCAGGGCGCGCGCGCGGCGCGTCCTGGCTTCGGGGGTCTTCGCCAATGCCACGCGGCGTGCGCGCGTGTCTCGGGGCCAGACATCGCGGCGCCTCGCGGGTGCGGCTGGGGTTCGGTTGCTGCCTGCCACCCTGGATTCGCTCGCCGATTTCGCCAGTGCGTTGGAGTTTGGGAGGTGCCGCGCGGGTCTGGAGTGCGCGTCCCTGTGGCGCCAGCCTCGCTGCAAAGCAGGGCGCGCTCGGGGCCTGGAGCTATCCGTGGCGGCCCTCCTGCGAGGCATCGGGCCGGCGCGTCGGGCCGAAGCCGTGCGGCTCGAGGACGTGCTGGAGCGCGCGCCGGTCGCGGAGCGTAGGGCCGACCGGCGTGGCCATCGCGGCCGCGGCGTGGAAGTTCCGCGGCCACCCTTGGGGGGCAAGCCTGGGCGTCGCCGGGCGCGCGCGGAGCGAGCGTCGACGTCGGGGCTGCAAAGGCTAACCCCGAAGGGCGCGAACGCGCGCGCGGCCTGAAATTCTCGCGCGCCGCCCCTGGCCAGATGGGGCTCGCCGAGTGGGCGTGCCCCGGCCGCGGTCTGGCGCAGATCCTGCAGGGGCGGGGGCGCAGAGGGCGGGGCGCAGATTTCCTTCTCCCTGTCCGCGCGCGTCGCCGCTCCCGCGAGGGGCGGCGGTGGTGGCCGCCCTCCGGCGCGTGGCGGGGGCGGCTCGGCTCGCCGAGCATTCGCCTCAGAGGATGGGGGCCCAGTGCTACGCGTGGCGCGGTGTCCCGTGCTTCGGTGGCTTCCCGGGTGGCCGCGGCTGGAGGTCTGGAGGGCCCCAGCCCTTCGAGGCCTTCCCTGGCTGATCTCGAGGCGCTCCTTGGAGAGGCCGCGGCGGGGCGCTGCGCGGCGACCGCGGAAGCAGAGGTCGGGAAGCGCTGCGCGGCGGCATTTGCGGCGTGGGATTAAATCGAGCCTGTCCCTCTACAGGGGGGAAATCCAAAAATAATGAAAATGTAGTTTTGGGGTGATTTTTTGTTGGATCATTTGCGAGCATTATTCTTCGCCCAAGTTCCCTTGTAGGGGGGCGCGCCCGACGTGGGCCAGGGAGGGAAAGCTGCGCGCCGCCGCCAGATAGACGCATGAGCTGTGGGCCCGGCAGTGGACGGGGGACCAGAAAGACCGCGTCGGCGGGGTTTGCAGCGCGAATAAAGAAGTGCGCGAGGTGGTGGTGGGCGACCCCGTCTTCCTTGCGTATGTGTGGGTCGCGCGGCGTGGGTGGCGCTTCGGTGGCGCGAGAGGTGCCTAGTCGGAAGCGTTTCGTGTGAGATATGCTTGGCGGCCCGTCTGCGCGCCGCCCGCGGGCAGGTGAGGGGGCCGCCTGCCGGGCAGCCGAGGGCCCAGAGGCGCGACGCGAGGAACCGCCGCGCTGCCCACCTGCGAAAACGGCGCGCCGGCAATAATTGCACTGTTGCTGCGAAGCACGCTTGCGAGCGCAGTGGCAAGGGGGCGCAGGGGCACGCGCGCGAGGTGCGTGCGCGCAGCTGCCGGCGCGCGTGAGGGGTGGACATGTGAGCGCGTGAACATTTGGTGAACCTCAATTGCGAGTGTGAGGTCGAGCGTAGTTTGCAATTGCAGCGCGAGCATGCAACGGACCTGTCACTCTGTAGGGGATTGTTTCTCCAGTTTAGGAGGGAACTGTAAGGGCGGGCGATATGTGATCCAAATTGTTGCCCCCGCGGCTTGTTCGCTCTAGGAGGGGCGCATTTCCAGCCTGCCTGCACAGCGTGCATGGTGGAGGGCGGCATGCGGGAGCGAGGCGCCGGGGTCCACTTGGGCTACAGGTTTGACTTGCACGTGCCGCGCGACCCTCCCGCTCGCCCGCGGCGCCCAAGGCTGACTCTGAGTCGCCTTGTCCATATTGTTGGTTTAGTCTTGTGCTAGGGCGGCTGCGCAAGGGGAGGGCCGCCTGCCGGGCAGCCATGGGCCCAGAGGCGCGACGAGGGACCGCCGCGCTGCTCACCCGCGGAAACAGCGCGCCGGCAGTAATTGCAACGTTGCCGATGCTGATTATGATGGTGGTGGTGCTGATGATGATGCTGATGATGATGATGATGATGGTGATGATGATGATGAGGAGGAGGAGGAGGAGGAGGACGGGGGGCCTGGGGAGAGAGATGGAGTGTGCATGAATGGACATATTGATCGCTGATCCCCATATCGGGGCGTGGCATTTTTCAATGGAAGTGCCCCGCCTGGGGGTTACCCTTTTTCTGGTTACCAGGAAATGTCTTTTGCTGGGAACGCAGGAGGTCGATGGCCGCTTGAGGATTTGCATAATTGTCCTGAAGCTTGGCCGCGAAACGGGCGATATCATGATGATAATTGCAACTTCGGAGCTTGTATGTGCCGTCATCCACGGAATGCGCAGCCTTTACAACCTCCAACCAAGCACGCAAACGTCAGCATCGGCATCCGACGTTTCAGTGAATTGTGTGCAGAGTGCCCACATGCTGCGGGCTTGATGCCATGCAACCCGATGCAAACAGAAACCAACAGCACGGGACAGAGACCATCTTCGTGAATGGCTCTGACCCCCTTGCGTCCCTGTTTGGTGTTCAGGTAGCTTCCCAAAGGATGGACAGCTGCGCATAGGCAGCCGCACTGTTCATCCCAGCCAGCATGTGGTGACATTTTACGAGCATGTGACTGGATGGGCCTGCCAGGCGTGCGGCAGCATCAGCCTGGGAGGACCTTGCACATATGTCCCGCTAGTAACAGGTATATCGAATTAAGACGACCTGGCCAAAGGAAGGCCTGTGGCCTGGCCACTCGGCCCAGCCCAAGGCTTTCAATGTAGCTTTCAATGCAGCGCAGCTCGGGGGAAAGTCCTCCTCCTCCTCCCTCCTCCTCCTCCTCCTCCTCCTCCTCCTCCTCCTCCTCCTCCTCCTCCCAGCCTCCAGCTTGTCACCTATCAAGGAGCGTCTTTGGGTCTCTGTTGGGTGCGATCTGTCACTGGCTACCGCTGGCGTTGGCCCGCCACGCGAGGAACTCCTACTCGACTTGCTGTACTCCTCTGTTTGCTTCTTCGACCCTCTGCGACCTCGCAGTGGCCAGGTCCGTACCCCCCTCCCCGGCCCTCCCCCCCCCTATCCTGCCCCGCCTTTTCTTCATTCCCCCTTCCCCCTCCCGCTCCTGCCCCCTTCTAGTCCTCCGATCTCCTTCTCCCCCCTTCGTGGTCGTCCTCCCCCCTTCGGCCAGGAAAGCGCGGCGAGGGTCCGAGGCTGCCCGCGGCAGCCGAAGGTCGCGTCGCTGCTGCTGGCGCACGACTCGTCGCAGGCCGGCGGCTGCCTGGCCAGCGCCGTAGTGGTGGCGCTCGAGGTCGGCGAGGAGAGGGGGCCGAGAAGCGCCCTCTTTATCCTCGCCCTCGATCTCCCGCCCTTCTTCCCTGCCGTCTCTCCCTGCCGTCCCTCGCTGCCTCCCCTCTTCTCGATCTGCTCTCGCCTGCCCCTCTCCATCTCTCCATCCATCTCGTGCTGCTCTGAGCAGCTCTTCCCTCCTCCTCCCTCCTCCTCCTCCTGCCTCCTCTTCCCTCCCTCTTGCTCTTCCCCCCCCCCCCCCTCTCCCTCCCTCCGCCCCTCTTCCCTCCCCCGTTCCTCTTTCCCTCGTGTGCTTACCCCGTCTTGTTCCCCGTCTCCCCTCCTTGCTTCTTTTGTTCCTCCTCCTCTTCCCCGCACCCCCCCTCTCACCCCGTGCTCACCCCTGTCTGCCTGCCCATCCCCCCATCCCCCTCTCCCCTCCCCACCGCCCCTTGCCCTTCCCCCAACCAACCCCTCCCCCTCCCC